GAGTGCTGGGATTAAAGGCGTGCGCCACCACCGCCAGGCCCACTTTGAGGTTTCTTATGCTCAGGATACTGTCCAGTGAGTCAGTTGGTTTCCTGTTGCCTGCAAGATGTAGCAGTCTCAGCTCCAGCACCACCTCTGCCTGCACACTGTCATGCTCCCTGCCATGACATTAATTGACTGAACCTCTGAAACTGTAAGCGAGCCCCCTCAATTAAATGTTGTTTTTATGAGCTGCTGTGATTGCCAGTGATGGTGGTGGCGCACACCTTTAATCCCAGCACTTGGGAGGCAGCAGCTGGTGGATCTCTGTGAGTTCGAGGCTAGCTTGGTCTACAGAGCGAGTTCCAGGACAGATTCCAAAGCTACACAGAGAGACTGTCTTGAAAAACAACCAACCAACCCCTCACCACCACCACCCCAAAAAAAGAGTGCCCTGATCATGGTGTCTCTTCATAGCAATAAAAAGCCAAACTAAGACACTGTATCTACCTGATTTTCAACCAATGAAGTGGTCCCATACTACAGTTTGATAGACTGGAACTTTTACTAAGGCTGTATAATTAGAACTGTTGAAAATACATTATATTCAGTGTTTCCAACAAATGGAGATGGTGTGTGTGTGTGTGTGTGTGTGTGTGTGTGTGTGTGTGTGTGTGTGTGTGTAGGACTGAATTAATGTGATAAAATAAGGTGTGCATTCAACAAATACTTTTCATCAGTTGGATTCAATGTCAGTGATAGATTAGATGAACTCTAATTGAGTTTGTTTCAAACCATAATCACATTCATATTTTTAAAGGAGACAATCAGTAATTTCTGTGTGTGTGTGTGAATCATGGATATCTAGTGACCTTACAAACCAGTAAAGTATAAAACCCATTAAATTTACTCGTCTTACAAATGGCATGTGCTTAGAAATTTGATACAAATTTGCAGTGAGGCTCGTGGGGAGGTAGATTCACATCATTGTGATGCTTTGTGTTTAACCTGTTCTCTGCTTCTCAAATGTGATGAGTTCTGTAAAATAGTAGTTGGCCACCTGATGCAGACACTGAGCTTGAGAAATGGGAATGTAGGCTGGGTTGAAGTGTATCCCCTCCAAGTGATGGTTTCTGTTTTATTCTTTCATGTGTGTGGTGCTGGGGATTGAACCCAGGGGCCTCATTCACACTAGGCAAATGCTCTGCCACTTGGTTCAATTTCCAGTCTCCTATTTGAAGTCCTATCTCCTAGCACCTTAGAATATGACCTTTTTGAATATATGATTTTTATATTTTAAATGGGGTAACTGGGCCTGGTCACAAATCCAATATGACAAGTGGCCTGACTTAAATGGAGGAATTTAGAGAAAGGAAAATGAAAGAAAGCCATGTCAAAATGAAGGCAGAGGCCCAAAAGCCAAAGAAGAGCAAAGATTGCCAGCAAACCACTCAGAAATAGACTAAACACATTGAGCAGCCTCCTCCGAGTCCTCATGGGGAACTAGTTCACCAACCCCTAATCCTGAACAATAGGTTATATTTCTTAAGTCTTTCAGTATGAGGTACCATGATACAGAAGCCCTAGGGAGTGAGCAAGTACAGCATTAAATAATGAGTCCTTCTGTTTCTAAACAAAGAGGAGGAATGTCCCTCTATGTTCCTTTATCTGAGCATACATCTTTATCTGGCAAGTGTGGGTATCAAATGGGTATGTCGATATATATCTGATATTTAGATATATAGGTATAAACCTGATGTTTCGAGAAGTCGGTACACTTTGAATTCAGGTACATATGTAATAGGGTTTGTGTGGGGAGTGTTATTTTTATGAACCAGATAAATGAATGCAGTTGGAAGTTGAACTCACTGAAGACTCTCCTTGGTAATCAAGTTGGCCCTAACTCGGCTGCCTTTATCAAGTGTAAATTGTTACCACCTGGAACCTTTTGGGTGCAGTCTCTGCAGGTGTCTTGCTGCTCATCAGCAGGCTCCTTTTGATGTGTGGAGTGCTGAGCTGTGGATAGTTACTCATACTGAGGAAGTCAGGCCTGGGATGGGCTCTCAGACGACCTCAGTGTGAATGCTGCTTTGAGTTTTGCAGCTCACAATCATCAAGCAGCACTGCTGACTGTTCCAAGAAGTCCGATTGCTGAGAGCTTTGAATCAACTTGACTATTAGTTAGATTATAAAGTCAATTCTGAAGCTAACTCAGCTGGTCCTTTGTGAAGTCTGCTCAGTTGGTGTGAAGGGGTGCTCTTTTATTTCCTCAGTTGGTGTGAATGGGTGCTCTTTATCTCCTCTAGAAACAGCCTTTACCTATCTTAGACACCAGGATCCTCTAGAGCAATAACCCTGGCTAAGGTCCTTTGCATGGTGTTTAATGAACAGCTTCATTTTAAAAAAAAAAGAGTCGAAGTGCTTTAAATAATACAAACGACATATTTGGGAGGGAGATTCTTGGAAAGAATACCCAAGGACTGTATGGCTTTGTAAGATTCGGTGATTTCATTTTAACATATCAACCTTAATAACCACTCAGTAATTGGAGATTTTCTTCTGGTAATAATATTTTGCCCTTGCTGTGGGTTGAGTTTATTTACATTCCTGTTGGATGCGACTAATGCGAGTTCACCAGCATTCATCAAGAATAATTTTTTAAAAGAAAATTAATTTTTTAAAAAGAAAAAGATATTTCCTGATGGCTGCTGGTGAAATATAATCTTATCATTTCTCCCTTCCCTTTCCTCCCTTCAAACCCTCCCATATACCCCTTCTTACTCTCTTTCAAATTCATAGCCTTTTTTCTTCATTTATTGTTACATATTATTCCTAAATATTGACCTGCTCAGTCTGTATAATGCTACTTGTGTGTATGTTTTCAGGGCTGTCCATGGGGTAACTAATTGGTGTGCTCTTTCCTGGTAAGGCTATTTCTCCTACTCTCAGCATCCCTAGTTCCCTGTAGTTCTTTGTGTAGGGTTGAGAACTCCTGGTCTTCTACAGACCACATTAGCGTGTGTGTCTACTATTGTTACCCTTGCTGTGTCTCCTAGTAATATCAGAAGCTACACCCACAAAGTCTCGCCGCCATGACTGCTTAAACAGGAGCTGAACCAGGAACTAATTTTGAATCCTGCTTGTTTTAATTTCTCACCTGTTTTCAGTCTTCCTTTAATATGCAAAACAGCATGTTGAAAGGTACAAACTGATTGGGTGAGTACTTAATGGCCCTAGACAGGGGCTGAGTACAGGTGGAAGTTTGCGTCTGAAAACCATGGTCTTACTGTAAACTCCTCATTTATATATCTGGTTTGGAAGAAGTTTGTGAGGATTGCTTCCAGGGTTTACAGATTTAAGGATTGATCCAACTTTATTTGCAAATATATAAATATGGGCCAGTTGGTGTACTCTGTGCTACTTACTAGTTTTTGCATATGTTATATTCTTTGGAATTATTGGTCCATAATTGTTACATTAAACTCATATTTTAAAGTTTTATAAATTAGACCACTTTGTTTATTTTCAATTTCAAACAAGTAGAATTCACCTTGGGCAGCCAGTTACTGGTGAGGAGAGTAGAAATGAGCTCTCATGGCTACATCTGCCTGCTCTGGCCATATTCTAAGGATAGTTTGAATCCTTCTCACCTCTTGTCTCCACTGTTCAGTTAGGAGTAGGGCCAGTCATGAATATGCATGTGTCCCACACCTGTGACCATCAGACCTCCCATCAAGGAATAGCACAGTATCAGTTACTTTTGAAACACAGGACTCGTAGCAGCTGCTGTCTGTGGCCCACAGGACTCCTGCCCTGCATGACAGCTGCGTATCATATCCTGTGGGCTCACTACTTCAGCCACTTTCAAGGCCAGGATATCAAAGGGGGCAGGGAGCGCATGCAAGCCTACCAATCCCAAGGTATTATTAGTTCATTGGCAATCTGATTCAGAAGTGTGTGTGAGTGAGGTCTCATTTCATCTTCACCAAACCAACTTGTGAAGGAAGTTGTCAATTTTTTTTTTCTGTAAAGGGACAGATACTTAATGTAGTAGGCTTTATAAGCCATGGAATCTCTCCAGAAATAGTCATAGATGGTATGCAAATGAACGAGCATGGGCATGTTCACATAAAACTTTCTTTACACAATTGGTACTGGGTCAGGTTTGGCCCATGGGTCATGGTTGACCTACTCTTACTTTATGCTGTTATACCCATTTTATAGATGAGGAAACAGTCTTAGAGAGTCTTAAACTGGCTGTACTGGCATAGCTGCTGGGTGATTAGCTATGTGTTTAATCTTTCCTTTAGCCTCAGTTCCTGTACACTACTAAGGTCTATAACAGGGTAGCCTATGTATGTCGTGACTTATGGAGAATGAGTCAAACTCCGAAGGGAAATATGTAATAACAGTGTCAGCCAGTGTCCACAAGATGCTAAGTAAGTAAATGTAGGTAGTCTGTTTTAGCACATTAGAGTGAAGTGTCTGCGTTCTTGACTATTTGAGTGATGATTTTAGGATTCCCTATTCTGATATAGCTGCTATTGCAGTCAATAGGCTTGCTAGAAGCAAATGACATAAAGTTTTTTTTTAAAAAAATATGTAAATGTTTGCCTTTTCAAGTGTACTTATATATAGGTGGCCCGTGTCTTCTATAGTGTGATACCTTGCATACTGAAAGGAAGATGTTTATTTTCACTAAAGAACATCCCACACAAGAGTTCCTATCCCATTTAACATAAAACCCTTGAAAGAATTCCAAATTACTCCCATCATCCCAGGATAGACATGTCCTTTTGTGTTTATTTCCATGGTAACAGGTGAGTTTCGACTACAGAATAGCAGACTTTACATGATAACCATCCAGCTGACCTTGTTGAGCATTCTCCAAGGGAATTAATAGTGCTTCCTGGTGCCAAAACAGCACCTGAGGCAGAATTGCAATGGCGTGCGGTGTTCTTTTCATTTTATTTTAAATTAAATTATTCTTGTATAGCAAGTTCTTTAAAGACTGAAGGTTCTCAGAAGGTGCCAAAATTTTGAAGTACTTTAAGACAGCTGTTCAGAATACCATGAACAAGCAAGCCTCAGAGATGTTCCTGGAACACCACAGAGAGCTCCAGAACTCATCGTTCACTGTGAGTGAAGAGAGCTAGAGGAAGGTGTGCGGCTGGCAAATGGGGGCTTCATGTTGCTGCCGTGCTTTTCATCCTGTGAGATGAGCTCAAAATGGAGCCACTCCCTGATAGAGAAACCAGAGAGTGAAAACTCTTGTGCAAAGGTAACTCTATTCTCTTTGGAGAGCTGAAGTCTTTGAATGCAATTGAACCTCTATTCATTACCTTGAAAGCTCACAGCGGAATAAAAACCCAGCCAGTGGGAGAGTTGGCTGCTTTGCTCATAGGACATTGATTTCTGTAAATTAATTGCTAACGAATTATTAAGAGTATGGATGATGAATTTAGTGACTTTTTTTCCCCTGTTGGGTAAATTTCTAGAAAATATAGAAAATATAGTTCTAGGTTATAGTATGTTGAATTCAAATGTATTCTAAAAGGGAATTATAACACAATCACATTTTTTCATGGTATATTTTATAGCTTTATATGATATAAAGTCCAGCCATGGCAAATATAAAGTTAGTGGGGTTTTTTTTGTTTTTGTTTTTAATAAAAATAAGGCTATATTTTTCCAGGTGTGTGAAGCAGGGTTTTAGGATACCCCCTAAGGTTTTGACCTTCCATGTTTACCTGTTCAGTGTTGGTGGGAACTGTGAAAAGGATGGGATGTTAATTAATTCATAATTAGGTTACATTATGTGGCAGACTTGAAGGGGGATTGGAGGAGTAATAAGGATTCCAAGACAATTATGAGCTAATAGATTGGGAGATTAGATTATTTTAGGTATGCCTGACTTAATCGGGTGTAAGCCTAATTAAAATGTTACTACAGGAGATCCTTTCTTACCAGCTTTGAGGAAGACAACATTTTTATTGTGAATTCTTCTGAAGAAGCAAGGTCTTCCTCCTTAACTTTCAAGGAGCTGGTTGCTATGGGCAGCCTAGAGGAGCTGGAAGAAGACCCTGAGCTGTAGGTGAGGAAGCCACCTGGATTGATAGTAGCCTTCTGGAGTCCAGGCCTCAGCTTCTGGCCTGAAAAACTATGAAATAATGAATGTGTGTTATTTTAAACCTCTAAAAATGGTGCAGTGTGTTATAACAGCAATGGAAAACTAACAAAGCCACTATCGCCACAATCCAGATTTGAAATTTTTCATTATCTCCTCAAAATTTCCCCAGGGCCATTTGCAATTACATTTACCCAAGGCAAATGCTTTTTTTCTATATATACTTACTTTTTTTCTGGATATGTTATATGAATGGAATAATGCAATATATTTTTTGTGTCTGCCTTTTAGTTAGCCTTAAAAATATTTTATTATTATTATTGTGTTCATATATGTCTGAATGATGGGAGGGTGCCATAGTGTATGAATGGAAGTCAGAGACAACTTTGTGGAGTCGGTTCTCTCCTTCTATCTTTATGTGGGTTCTGAGGATGAAACTTAGGCCACCCACGCTTGCAAGGCAAGTGGCTGTCTGCTGGCCATCTCTCTGGCCCAAGTTAGCATGTTTTTGAGGCGTCTCAATGAATCAGTAGTTCATTGTATAAAGATATCGTACTGTGCTTGCATGTTTATCATTGAATCAACATTTGGATGGTTTCAAATTCAGATTCTGATTAATAATGTTGCGAATGTAACATTCAGATTTCTGTGTGTACCTATGTTTTAGTTCTCTTTGGTAGATATTTGATAGCAGAGTTGATAGGGAGATTATTATTAACTTTCAAGATGCTGCCAAATTGTTTTCTAAAGTAGCTATAGTATTTGCTTCTTTCACTAGCAATGAGTGAGGTTTCCAGTTTCCTAACATTCTTGTCAACACTTATTATTGCCTGCCTTTTTATTGTGACCATTTTTATAGAGTACATAGTAATATTTCATTGTGGTTTTGCCTGCATTTCACTATTGGCTAATATTGTAAAGTATATTCTCATACGTTTGTTAGTTATTGATAAAGCTTCTTTGCTGAAATGTCTGTGAAATTTTTTGCAATTAAGATAATTTATTTTTATATTATTGAGTGATTTAAAAAATATATTTGTAGCAGGCTTTCTGGGACTGTCAGCTCCCAAATCATGACACAAGAACTTATTATTAATTATGAATGCTTGGCCTTAGCTTAGGCTTGTTTCCAGCTAGCTTTTTTTTTTTTTAACTTAAATGAACCCATTTCTGTTAATTCATCTGCTGCTGTGAGGCTCATTTACCTCACCTACATATTGTTTATCCTGCTTTCCTGCTTCTTCTCTGGTGAGTGACTGGCACCTGTATGACTGTCCACTGGCTAGTTGGCTGGCTGGCTCCCCCTCTTTTCTCTGCCTGCCAGACCCATCTATCCCTCCTCTGCCTAGCTATTGGCTGTGCCGCTTTTGAGTAGACCAATCAGGTGTCTTAGGCAGGCAAGGTAAAACAGCAACACATCTTTACATAGTTGAACAAATTATTCTAGGCCACAACATATATTCTAGACACAAGTTCTTTATTAAAGATATAAATATTTTATAAATATATGTACATATTTTTCTACTTTGTAGGTTATCATTTAACTTTATTTTTCATTTAAAATTTCTTTTCCTTTTGTTCCTCTTCTCTCTTCCTACTCTCTCCCTTTCCCCAATCTCACCAGACATTGAATCTAGAACCATGTACACCCTAGGCAATTCCTCTGCCAAGGAGATACATCTCCACCTCTCTTTTAACTTTTTTATTTAGATACAGGGTCTCACTCAGTTGCCCAGCCCAACCTCAAACTTGAGGTCCCCTGTATTAGTCTTTTGTAGTTGAATTAAAGGCTTGTAGACGTCTCTTTCATTTTCTTGGTAGCATCATCTGAAGCACAGAAAGTAGTAACTTTGGTACATAGTCATGTTTATACATAGTTTTCTTTTTTTCTGTACTTGTTTTTCACACCTGCATAGATATCTTTGTTTGCAAAGTTCAACATCTAGTACCATGCAAGGGCATTTTCTATTGAGAGTTTTCTCCCTCAGTGTGTAAAACACATTTCATTTTCCTTTGCTTGTTTTGTAATTCTGTTCTATACAAATGTTTTCAATAAGCAGTTGCTCCTGTAAATTTAGTGTAACTTCCTTCACAAGGGACTTGTAGCTGTTATTTTTGTTTAACAAGGTGTTTGTATGAAATCTGTGACATGCTTCTTGCACAAAGTACAATTGAAGTTTCTTTCTTTTTGTTTTACTTTCTATTTATTTTTTTCTTTACAACATTTTCACCCTGTTTCCCTTTCCAGTTCTGTATTTGCATTGTCTAGTAATGTCATGGAACTTCTAGAAGTTGGGTTTAAATGCTTCATAAAGCTTTCGTTCTCTGCTGAGGGTAGAGAATGCATTCGTAGTAAAAGCCATTTTCAAAATTCACCCCAGCTCTTGTATCTACTGTGTGTATATTTTTGTACACTGGCACACATGCATATACATGTATACACACACACACACACACACACACACACACACACACACACACCTACCACTCTTGATTGGCTCTGAGTGTATGGATGACTTGGGATCCTTCAGTGTCATACACACACACACACACACACACACACACACACACACACACACACACCAACTACTCTTCATTGGCTCTGAGTGTATGGATGGCTTGGGATCCTTCAGTCTCTACTATGTGTTTGTGTAGTGTTTGTTAACTCAGTAAACATGAAGAATTTTTTTTTCTGGCCTACTAACGTCTGGTTTATCTACTAGAACTCTGTTAATTGTTGACTCATCAGTATTTTGTGTGTCTCAAACTTAACTCCATCAACACAGTGTACAAAATGCTATCATTCCCTTTCACTTTCCAGTGAAAACATCCATGTTATCTGTGAGTGCTCTAACCAAGTAACCCCCACCCCTACACCCAGTGCAGTAAAGTTTTTACAGTGTGTTTTGACTCAGTTGAGTGACATACCGTTGTGGCAGAATAGGGATGGGTAGGGAATAGAAGCAGATGTAGTCAAGAACATCTCACAGACTATTTCTGGTTATAAGTTTTCAGGTTGTTGAATGCATTGGGTTAATTGCAGAGCTGAAATGGTTTTGCTTGAAGGTTTGTCCTGGTTTATAGTTGATTTTTAGGAATTTAAAACCTCCTCACTACTTCACCTGAAATCCTTTCCATGGTGTCCCCCTCTCCCCTCCCCACTTTCCCTGTGTGGGTGTTCATTAAGACTCACGTACAAGAATGAGTGAGCCCCCAAATAAATATGAAGTACATTGTGTGAAGGATGTATTTGTTTCTCAAACCTGCTTGGGTAGGTGTGACAGATGCAGAATGGAGAGAAGGGGATTTTGAAAGTAGTATTCAACCCAATTGCTACAGCTTGCAATGACTTGTGTTTCCTCATGTGAGTTGTTTAACTTCTGGAAGCCCCAATTTCTCCAGTAGTAAACAGGGATTATAAGGATTAAATATGATAATAAAAAATATGTAGGGCAAGGCTAATGCATAAGCAAAGACTCCAAAATATCAGTTCTCCTGATGCAGGCGTATCAAGTAATCAATCTCCATTGACTTCTATAGATTTTTTTTTTTTTCAATTCATGGATGAGGCAGAGACTCTAGGATTTTTTTCTAACAATGAAAGTGACAAAAACTACTAGGACAGAGGTAAAATATATCAGGACTAAGTCATCAGAAGTGAAGGTTAGGAGAGACATCAGAGGATGCTGAATAAAGCACTATAGACGTGAAGTTTTGGTTCCTGTCCTGGATCTCACTCTGTAGACCAGGCTGGCCTCGAACTCACATAGATCCACCTGGATCTGTCTCCCGAGTGCTGAGATTAAAGGCATGCGCCACCACCACCTGGCAGAAAAAACAATCTTGACAAGAGATGCAATAATAAATCGATGGATTCTGAGCCCCACCTGGAATGGAGGGATGGTGGTGACAAGAGCTATCTATTATGTCTTTGCCGCTTCAGAACAGCCCTTCCCAGTTTTCTGTGAATGGCAGTTGCTCTAGATTTAGCACTGGAAGGTGGCTTTTGCTCTGAACTATCAGAGACCAGAATCGATCCCCAGGTGCAGGCTATCAACATAGTTCTTGCCTATGCTGATACTCACATGAGACCCAGGAATGTGCAATGTCATTGTATTCCCAGATCAATTCTGTTATTCTGTGCTCCTTCTGCT